TCAAAAATATTATATATATATATATATATATATATATAGATAGATAGAGTAATTCAAAAATTATATTATATAAACTTAAGTTATGGGTCAAGCAACAACTAATAACAACTAAATTAACTACTTTAAAGTAGTTTAAAGAGAAGCTTAACATGGCCTCAAAAGAATTTCATTAGTAGTTTATCTTTGTTCTGCTTTTATATCAAATATGATTATCGTAATTCAATTATATCGAAACATGCAATGATAAATTAGTATTAAAAAAAATCAATAATGAACAATAAAAAAGTAAACCTTACTATACTATCAACATATAGAATTCAACTCATTTCAATATACAATATATACTCCAACTTGAACAACACAACAATACAACTCATCATAATTCAAGATGGCATATGCATCATAGAACTCAACAACTCAACCACATATGTACAACAAATTTACTAAATACGTGGTTACACATTCCAACTTAGAGATCTCCTACAATATAGACAAGTAGTTTAGGTGGTTTGATCTTATCATACTAACAACTCAATTTTTTTCAATCCAACTAGATCAATAACCAATTTGGATAATAATTCATAACATGGTTTCTTGGATTTCATCACTTAAACTAGTAAGTCTAATATTTTTGTTAGGATATAACAACTTGGGTGTGAACATACCACAACATTAATTAACATAACTAAGTCATCTATGAGATTAGTCCGTCAACTACCCTCTAAATATTTTGCCATTTTAGTACTTAGTTAGAGATTTTACCCCTGACTTTGTACCTAACTTTATTATGGTCATTTTATACTCATATGTCTTGACTTTATTTATATACAAATTAATAATGATCGCTTGTAGTTAGAATGTCTCAACTTAAACCACATATTAGATTAACTAAGGTCCTAGAAAATTAATAGTGGTCGCTTGTAGGAATTAGAATAATACAACAAAAATAAAAAAAATAATATGTAAAAAAAAAAATTGTCAATTCTAAATAATATATACAATTAAAAGTGTTTTTTTAGTGTCATCTAATCATAAATATTTATGTTGTCAACTTAAAAAAAAAAAAAAAAAAAAAAAAAAAAAAAAAAAAA